CAGCAGGCTGTGCTCCTGGGCAAAAAAAGGGTTCCATTTGAAGAGCTGTCAGCTAGAAGATGGAGTTGTTTTCTGTTGACCCAGAAGGTCAGACTTGAACATACAGATGGAAATTAAATCAAGAGTTCAGGCTAAACATTAAGAACTTGCTGGCAGAGCAGTTTCTCAGTGGGTTCCTCAGGAAGTGGTGGGCTCTCCTTTGGAGGTTTTTAAGCAGAGGCTAGATGGCCATCTAACAGCAATGCTGATTCTATGACTCACTGTGAATCTAGGCAGATTGTGAGAGGGAGGGCAGGGAGGAATGAGTCAGTGCTTGGCCCTTGTGGCCCTTTCTTACATGCCCAGGGTAATACCAATCGCCACTTTGGGGTCAGGAAGGAATTTTCCTCCAAGCCAGATTGGCCCAGGGATCCTGGAGGGTTTTTGTCTTTCTCTGGGCCTAGAGCAAGAGGCACTGGGGTAGTGGGGGGTGGTGAGGTAGCTGTGAATTTCTTGCATTGTGCAGGGGTTGAACTAGATGACCCTTGGGAGTTCTTTCAGCATGCATTCATATTATAGGCATGAATTCTAGAATGTTAACACATTTATATTTTAACTACCTACCATTTAAACCAATTTCATGTAAAACTGTTTAATTTTTAAAAATCTAGGTCATGCCCCAAGTTTTTCCTGTAATTTATTAGATTATGAGAATGTCTGGAATCATTTTTTCAAATAAAACTGCTTATTTCAACAAAAAAGATTTCACCTTATAGGACCAAAGCACAATGACAAATGCAACTTGGACTCGTTAATGCCCTTTTTTCCATGCCAGTACAAGCCCCACGAGCTCCAGTAAACCTCAGGCATATCTGGGAGTGGGGTAGCTATATAATTATTGCCAGAACTTCCCTGCTCCTGACTGGAAGATTTTATAATTGCTCTGTAAAAAAAAAAATAGTAAGTGGATCAGAAAGGAAAGAAAGGCTCAAGATCTCTATTGCCACAGTCATCACTAGAAAACAACCAAATGAGGAGTTACAGGTTACAGATCAAGCCATTCCTTTGTGTATGCACCTAAGGAAACTGAAATGGACAATGTACCTAACGCTGCATAGGCTCAGGCTGAATCATAGCTGTCTAACTGCTTATATGTGTAGCTAATATCTAGTTAACAGCAGTTATGATTGCAATCCAACTAGGAGATCTGAAGAACAAATTGGCAGTAACGAAACAGCCATACTCCGATGTCTTCATTCTACTCTATATTGCAAAATATCAGAGTACTAAAATCTCTGATACTCCAACTTTGAACATCAGAGTTCTCAATCAAACCTGCCTCATAAATTTAATTCTGGCTAAAAGTCTGACAGTTTCAGTGCAACAAATCCATTTATCAAATTAAGCTAGTCCTTGAGAAGTAAATGCATTCTGTATATCCCGAGAGATGCACCCTCAAGGTCACAGCCAACAACTCCATAGGGTTTTCGAGGCAAGAGATGTTCAGGGGTGGCTTGCCTTTGCCTTCCTCTGCACAGCAACCCTGGGATTCCTAAATTGTCTCCCATCCAAGTACTGACCAGGGCTGACCTTGCTTAGCTTCCCCCAGATCTGACAAAATCGGGATCACTTGGGCTGTCCAGATCAGGGCTACCTCTCGATGAGTTTCAAAGTTCTCTCTAAAGACTTTCTAGCCATCAAGCGATAGGGGAAGGGTGGGAAAGAAAGTGAAAACCAGACTGGTCACAGAGAAAGGACTGGGAATAAAGGGGTGTGAAGATAAAGTGGGAAATGTGGTGTAAGAAGAGGAAAGTGAGGGCCCGCGTAAGGAGGTAGGTTCTTTATCAACCATGAGCTTTGAACAACCCCAGCTTGTTATTTCTATGAAAGCAGAAGCCGTCTGAAGAAAATTCTTGATAGGAAACCATTTCTAGCATCTCTTCTGCTGATAATTAACATCTAGCATGTCACTTCTGGAAACTGAAATTCCTTTTTTAAAAAAAAAAACGCTCAATGGCAGTTTGCTGGGGAAAGAATGGTCAAGTTATGTGAAGACCTATTAAAGCTGGGTGACATTAAGGCATCGGTTTCTCAGCCACTCATTAACTTGTTCCCAATCTACACAGAATCAACTTAATAGGTTCCTCAATAATTAGATAAACAGTGGGAATTTAGCAGTCTCTCTCTGCCTCAAGGCCTTATACAAAATAAACTGAATGGAAGTGATGATAGACGTCGTGAGCTCCCCCTCACTGGCAGTCTTCAAGCAGTGGCTGGACAAACACTTGTCAGGGACACTTTAGGCTGCCTGCATTAAGCAGGGGGTTGGACTAGATGGCCTGTTCCAACTCTATGATTCTATGAAACATATTCTTCACCGTTCTCTTAATGCTTGCCAGAAATAAAACATCAGGTTAAAGGGAGACTTTGTAAAAATATAGCACAGAATTTTTTAAAGGACTATTTGACTTGGGGCTGGAGGGGGGGGGGGAGTACTACTAGGCTAACCTCAATGCTGAGTTTCCTTTGCAAAACACTTGTCTTGCATCTCACCTAAAAGAAAAATAGCAGACAAAGGTTAAATAGCCCTCTTTCCTTCCCATTGTTTCTCATCCTGGAAATCAACCTCTACCAGAAATCATCCCCCACCAGATACTGTTTTACAGCAGAGAAACAACAGCCAGGGTTTGAAAATATGACTTGGCTATAAAGAAAAGCTTACTATCCTACTGGCTCTGTGGCAAGAAAATATTGTATTTTTGCTGTCAATAAACCTCAACGATAAGCAGTAACCCAAAATAAATAAGACATCTCTATCAAAAGTAACTGGTGCTATGAAAACATTTGTAAGCTCATTATTAAGGTAACATGGGAAGCTTTATCAGGTATAATAGAAAGGTAGTACAGAATATATTTATTGTGTATCTTAATGGGTTTTTATGCATCCTGAGATCTGGCTCTCAGTCAACACCATCACCAGTTTCATCCGTATATTAGACATGGCAAACATGGGCCAGAAAATTCTGCCTCTTTCAGCTGTTTAATGTAGGATCAAATTTTCTTTTAGCACTTGACAGCATGATTCAGAGAAAGAGCTAACCTCAGGATTGATTGGTCATGACCATGTACAGGAAGACTTCTTCTCTGGAGTCAGGAAACCATTAGAATGAAAATAATCATGCCCTGAAACCAGTGTTGGAATATTATTGTAACAACACAATTCTTGACAATCACTATCCAATATCTATATAATAGCCAAGTCACTGTGAAATCTGAGGATACTTCAAATCTGGAGACTGAAACGGTGAATGGACAAGACCAGTGTTCCCTCTAAGCTGAGTTAGTGTGAGCTAGCTCACAATTTTCTACCCTCCGGCTCACACATTTTTGTCTCCGCTCAGGAAGGAGGGCTCCAGAGCAAACTAATGTATGCAGCAGCCAAATCGCTGGCTCACCACTTTAATGCCAGTAGCTCACAAGGTAGAATTCTTGCTCACAAGACTCCACAGCTTAGAGGGAACATTGGACAAGACTGATCTTTCTACAAACCTGGAAAATGCTCGCAGACAGCGTCAACCAGACCAAGACCTGAATGAGGCAAGGTGAGGCAGATGGCGACATCCTCCCCAGCCAAGTCCTGTGCAAGGTGAGGCAGCCTGGCCAAGCCATGTGAGAGGCAAGGCAGGAGATGCCTACTCCAGTCGAGCCCCACATGATGGAAGGCAAGGCAGAGGGCAGTGCCTGGCCCCACACATGTGAGGCAAAGCAGAGGGTGGTGCCCAGCTGGCCAAGCCTAGCACAAGCTGAGGCAGAGCAAAGGGTGGTGTCCTGCACAAGGTGAACCCCATGTGAGGTGAGGGAGGAAGTGCCTGGCCTGTGCAAGACCTCCCTGAGGCAAGGAAAGCAGCACCCAACCTACTGGTTAGACAGGCTGCCTCTTCCTCCATCCTCCCTTTGAGAGGGAGGGGAAGGATTAGACAGACTGCCTCTTTCTATTCTCCCTTCCTTCCTCAGGAAGTGGGTCCAAGGGGGCTGGGGGAGGGGCCTTTCCCAAGGGTTTTTGCTTACAGCCCACCCCTGCTCACCAGGTCGTTTTGAGCAGAGGAGAGAATGAAGTAAGGTCCCTTGAGTCCCCTTTGTGAAGAAAGGTGGGCTATAAATGAAATAAACGTAGCTGAAGGTGGAGGAGCAGATAAAAGCCTGGTGGGTGGGTGGGAGGGAAGGAGAGAAGGGTTGCCAGTAGAAGGGAATACCATAGGACAGGAGGAAATGGGTGCCCTTCGCAAGTCCTTGCAGTCCCCAACTGTGCAGCTGAGCTCACCCTGGCAACTGGCACTGCACAACTGGACAGGTTTTCTTAGGTAGAGGGTGCCAGAGGTCAGGTGGAAAACTAAAGATGGGAAGAAGGTAAACGGTACCTTGGCTGGTGGATGGGAAGAAGAGAACAGAAGCGGAGAGACTATATGTGGGGTTTCCAAGGAATGGAAAGAGGTAAATTCATCCCGCGAGTCCTCACAGTTTCCCATTGGTTCTGATAGTAAGATACTCCTCATCTGGAGTCTGGATGTGATCCTCAATTATGTAGAAACCTTTATTGTGTCTGTAGGTGGCTGTGTCTTGACACTTTCATCATGATGGAGGCCCATCACTTCACTATTAGATACAACAAACTGGAGCCCTACTAATGCAGCCCCATTTTGCCCCCAATAAAAAGAGAATCTGAAAATCCAAGCATAATTTTCCAGTCTTCACCACTCCCATTTAAATGACCCACATATGTTCTCATACTTTCATTCTTCTGTAACACAATCCTACTTAGGTCATTTTGATGGGTTCCCCCCCCCCCCCCCCCCTTTTTTTCTTTTTAAGTCTCCCAACTGTATGAAGACTATTACTTTCTCTGTGAATGGCTCAGTTGTGCCACTTTTGTTATGCACTATATTTGAACTGAAAACATCAAGCACAATTCATTTGTGCAATAGACCTCAGTATAGTTAAAACACATGTGTATATCCTGTGCAAATGGTTCCAAAAGTTTATTTGAATACTTAATTTACAAAAAAAAGGGAATCATGTATCCTATGAGATGTCCTATGCAAGACTGGATAAAACTGCATATAAAACCCAGCAAAACCCAATGTAATGGTATCTATGAAAGTGAGAGACAGAAGGCAGCCTCTGGGAGAAATAAAGATAAGGTAAAGATGACATTCATATTAAAGATTGTCCCAACCCACCAATCCCCGCCCTCCAACAATCAATCAATCCCTTTCCACTCCCCAGGAGCCTTACTTCTAGTTACACTGTACACTGCCATTTTATACAAATATTTTCTATATCTATTGGGCCTTATTGTGGTTTTTTGTTTGTTTTTTGCTTGGTCAGTTCCTCCCTGAATTTCTCATTTCAAATAAAAAGGCCAGGACACACACTGAGCATATGTATGTATGTACTGTCTTTGGTAGGGATGCTTACGTGGTTAAAAAGACGTACATTTACCAAATTTTAACTTAGTCCATTGAAATAGTGGCAAGAATTTCAGCTTAATGTTTGGCAAAAGGCAGACACACTATGACTGTTTAGTCAATTACTGGCAGTTTCAGCTGAACATACAAAACATGGTAGATTTCCATACAAAGCTCAGAAATACAGATTACTTCCAAGGTTTCAAGCTATTTGCATACTAACACGGCTTGAATGACACACAGTTGCCTAAGAGACTGAGTGCACAGGAGGCCTTCTGACCCCCAGCCCAGGTCATACAAATCAGTACCTGCAGCTACAATGAAGTGTGTCCACCCATTGTCTGCAGCAATTATCTGCAAGCAGCAATACAGGCCCAAATGCAGCAAGAAGCTCTCTGAAAAGACCATCCACCTCCCCAGGTATCACCAAAAGAAGAGATCTGCTTAAAAGTTAACATGAAAGCCTTAAAACGTTGTTCTGGGCACAAGGGAGAAAGTGCGACACAAACTGGAAACTGTACGTTAAGAGGCTGGGAGTCTCCTGCAGAGGAAAACAAAGGTAGTACATTTTTACAGCATCACCTGCCTGAAGCTCTCCCGCACAAGGACCATTGACGTGAAGGGTGAGCTGCAACAAGAAAGCTTCTTACTAGACTGTGCACTTGGGTTCTCAAGAAAATAGGGATCTTTTCACTAGATCCTTAACATAAAAACAGAAGTTTTCCTTTTGAATAATCGCCACTGTTGTGATTTTCAAGTCCTCTTCCTATCTTCTCTATCCCGATGTTGTTCCTGATATGGAAACGTGACTAACTTGCACAGCCAAGGTCTGGAACGCTAACGATGTTCAGTACATGAGCAGTTGGACATAATTACTTTGTAATTCAGTACACAGACAGATACAAATGAAACATGCATTACTGTCAGGAAAAGCTGAAACTCCTTGGGGGGGGGGGGAATTGTGACCATCACTGATTTGGCAAAGAAGAAGGAAAAAGCCCCACTTCAGAACACATTAAAAACCTATGATAACATACTGTGGTGGGGAACTTAAAAGTTACAATATATTAGCGATTTCTGAGCCGTAAACATTTGTAAAAGCATCAGCGAAGTATTTTAAATATAAAAAGAATATGTATAGACCCCTCCATCTTTTCCCCTTCCCCACAATGCGACATGATTTGTAGTGTAAAAATCAGATGAATGATCACAGCATTAAGGCATAAATGGTAGACATGATTTCCTATTGCCTCAGCTCAACGTAATTTGCCGGGAACAGCCCGTATCTGCCTTTGCATACTCCTCTCCACCAGCCATCATCAATCATTTCAATGTTTGTGATAATGTCATCAGGATCAAAGGAAATCTCGTCATCACCAGCTGTGGAGAGAGCAGAAGCAACTCTCAGGTCAGTATCTCAGATGGAATTAACTTCCCAAACCTAATAAACAGTTGAAAGAGAAGAAATAAACGCAGGTTGCAACCCAGGGCTCCTCATTCAAGCGGGATTCCCTTCTTGCTGGTTGGACAGGGGAACAGTCCCTGGCACCGTGGAGCTTGGATCACACGTGAAATGGGGGGGGGGGGACAGCACCGATGCAGGGCTCTGGCTGCTTCCAAGCAATTCTACTTACTGTGTTTGACTCTAAACAGATACAGCATGGTTCTCTCCCCAATATGGGAATCCAAGGCAGCTTACACCACCTTTCTCCTGTCCTCCCTTTAAACCCCACAACAACCCTGTGAGGTAGGACAGACTGAGAATGTGACTGGTCACCGAGTAAACTTCCATGGCTGATTTGAACCTACACCAAGCTGGTTGCATAATTCATATGGACTATTATTCAATGTTTCCATCAAGAGTGTACATGACAGGCAGAAGCTAGCAGTAGTACAATATTTATTAGCAGCAAGATTTTTCCTAACACTTGTGGCATTTCAGATGGTCACCACCACCAAGTGCCTCCTAGCAGAGCATATTTAGATGAGGGTCTAGTAGAGTCAATACTATCTAGGAGAGGGACTGCTGCACAAAAGAGGCCAACTACTTGGCAGCTCTTCCTTGCAGTCCCCTTCTACGCATCACACAGTTTCTGGTTTGGTGCCATGGCCTTAGTTACACCTGGAGGGCAGCTCCCCAAGAGACTCATTGGGCCCTTCAGGTTATATCGGATGGCAACCCTGCAGCAAAGTCGTTACTGCAAAAAAAATCTTCAAAGATTATTTTAAAAAGTGGATTAGGAACCCAGCAGAGGATCTTGACATTTGTAGATCAACTGGCAAGGATCCTGAGAGGATTTGCTCAGCATCTTGGTGGTCAGCTACTGCCTTCAAAGTATGCCACAGAAGGGTTGCACAAGAAACCAGCATTCAAAATTATATCCAAGTGTGAGCCAAATAAAAATGCAAATATCATCATTCTTCTCTTCCCCCCCAACCCAACTTCTGAGGTTTCACCAGACATTACCCCACATGCTTAGAAGCAGCCTCAGACTTAAAAGACTGAATATGTTAAGGAAAAGAGAAAGAAAAAGGATACAAGCACAAAAATTGGCCCGGGATGCTGAGTTCAGGGTTTGAACTCAGCATTCAGGGCCAATTTTTGCATTCACATGCTTTCTTTGGAACATCTGCAGAAGATGAAAAGCCTGGAAATGATTGGGTTCCCCCCCCCCCAGAGGATTCCGCAGATACCCTATTGCTTACATTTTAGATGACTCTTCACAGAAACACAGAAACAAGCAGAACTACAGAGCTAAGCAAAAGCAGAGCTTACCAGCTTGATAATCATAGAGAGCTATAGCTGTGATTCCAAGGTCATTTTCATACTCGTAAGTATTTTCATCTAAAGAAAAATAGGAAAAGAAGCATGACTACAGTTCATTGCACAAGAGAGGGATAAATGTCTTTAACTTATTCACTTACAAAATAGCCTGGCACTTAACACTAGTCTCCCCAGTAATCAGATTATCCCTGGTGACACATTGGCACAGATTTTAAGCACTTATGTTCATCTTTATAGCATAGAGTGAAGAACCAGTAGCTTACAGGTAACACAGGAAGAGATCTGCCTACCTGCAGCACCACTAACAAGCAAAGCCTTGCAAGCCAAATTAGCATGCATATCTCTAACTAGGGATGGGCATGAACCAGCTCACAACCCTAAATTCTTGATGGAAATCACCTGGTTTGTGAGCCAAGGTTCATGAGCTGAAACTCCTACAACCCTCCATGTGGTTTTCAAAGATTTGGGTAGTTCATGGCACCTGCTCTGGGGGGCTGCTACTCCACCCACCACCACCACCAATCCTCGCCAAACTTGAAGGGCAAGTAGAGGGGGATCCCAGGGAAGTCCACTGTTAATTTGATGCCTCTAACTTGCAGGGGGAGGGCATTCAACACACTACTGAACCTGCAGCTGTGATTTCCCCAGAGAACACTTCCCTGGGGGCACCTGCTTTGGGGGGCTGTAACTGGTCCCCCCCTAAATCCAATCCTCACCAAACTTGGAGGGCAGGTAGAGGAGTCAGCTGGAGACTCACTGCAAGTTTGGCATCTCTCTTACTGCATCATGAACCTCAAAAAACTAACTGGTTTGGTAAACAGAAAGGTTTGTGGTTCATGCGGCTCCATGAACAAAAATGAACCTCGATTTTCCCAGTTCTTGCCCATCCCTACTCCTAACCCCTTCTGCTAAAAGCACTGCTCCAGGGCACTTTCCCTTCCTCCAGGAAACTGAATGCAACACAGAGATTTCCTCAGTAAGTCTAGCATCTAATTATGGCCAAGCATAGACCTACTTAGGTTTAGAAGGTAAGGAAACAGCAGCTCGAGTCATAATGCTACCCCCTAGCTCTTGCCATTTGCTCAGCATACCCAGCATCTTCAACCACCAACTCTAAGAGTACAATTAGTCAAAGCACTGCCAAAGGCTATAAGGAAAAAAGGCCTGGAAAGCAACAGAAGTTATCAAACCTGCTGGATACTGATTTTGTGCCCCAGCCACTTCATAAACTGTCTCCGATTCATACTCTGGTTCCCGCTGACTGATTGCTTCTTGGTAGTCAGGCTCTTCAGCTTTCCCGTTGCTTTCCGGCTCATGCACTGCAGAATAGTTCATATCTGAGTTCTTGTAGCTGGGCTCAAAGGAAGTCGCATCCTAAGGGAGTGAAAGGCAGCCATGAACTCAAGTATGTAAACACCCTTTGGCCACCATCTTGAACCCAACTTCAAATTTTCAAGCTGGATGTCACTACTGCTGAGTGGGAGAGTATCCCACTGTCTGCATTATATAATTCATACCACAATGATGACTTCAGTCCTGTATAAAGGAAGAAAGCATGGCAGATGTATTTAAAATGGGGGGAGGGATGTTGGAAGTGCTAACTCTACCCAACTGCACACCATCTCATTTATTAGAGTTTTATTTCCCACTGAAACAAAAAAAATTCTGGATAAATTTCTGACAATTTGGTAAACAGCAGTCCATACATATATCTGCAATGCCAAGGTATATATTATGCACTGGAGAAAAATAACACATTTTGGCACTGCAGACATTACAGAAATGTTATATCCTTTACGGGAAAAGTTTTTTTCCAAAACCTAAATAATTTTTCGACTGTTTAATAACTGAATCAACATTTAATAACTGAATCAATGTTTAGTAAACCAATTGAGATAGCTCAGTTAAATATTTAACATGATCAAAAATGTTTTGACCAGTAAACTGACCTGGGTATAATTTTAAAAAATCTACAAATCCTCATATTTCACTCTTTACCATCTCCTTTATGTTTACTTTCTAAATTATTTCCTCCTCCTTTTTTCTTACCTACAGAGACTGGGGCGAAAAGCTTATATAAATGCCTTAAATAATAAATGTAATGTAACTACTGGGGCTCAGAATTTGGGGGAAAATCACTAATGCTTTTAACTATTGTTTTATTAGAAAGCAACAAGAAACAGGATAGGGAGGCACTTTGAACGGCTACAAAGGACAGGAAAAGGGATATTGTGCTCTGCAGGCAACTTTGCCCACATAAAAGCTAGCCCAGGGGTGTCAAACCTACAGCCCATGGGCCGGAACTGGCCCATCCAGGGCTTTAATCCAGCCCAATCCCCACCCCCTCCCCTGCCTGTCCTCACCCTTCTGAGGGAGATCAGAGCTGCCAAACTTCCCACCTGGTGGGGCCCTGTTTTTGCCTGTTTCTCCTCCGGCAGGAAGCTTCTCTGGACTAAAGCACAAAAAAAGTTGCAAAGAAAATGTGGAATAGATTTTCCTTTAAGATCTCTGGACCCAGATAGACTATTTTGGGACTGGAATGACAGCCCCCAGAGTGGAATGATGGTCCCTGGGAGTAACAGCTGCATTCTGGGAATGGAATTCCACTCTGGGAACCCTCATTCCATTCCCAGAATGCTTCTGCTACTCCCAGATACCGTCATTTCACTCAGGGGGGCTTTCATTCCAGTCCTAGAGTAGTCTATATAGGCCCAGAAACCTTAATGGAAAATCCATTCTGCATTTTTTTGCAACTTTTTTTGAGCTGCAATGTATTTCAATGGAGTGGAGCTGTAGTTTCAGTTTCCAGTTTTTGTATGCCAGCTGAAGTTGTCAGTGTTGGAGTTGTCTCCTTGCAAATAAAGGGCTGATGCTTTGAGCCAGCTTGTCTCTGCTGTATGGACCTGAGAACGGGTGCCTGAGTGAGTACTCTAACCTGGGAACCCACAGTCAAAGGGGGACATTACATTGCAAAGCCACTGCCACTCTGAGTAAACCGGAGGTCGGGGAGCTTGCAATGCCCAGCCATTCCATGTTTTCCTAGGCTCTGAGCATTTTATATTTTTAGTTTTTAGTTTTAGTTTCTGCTGTGATCCTTGTGCTTTTTCTTGATGTTTTATTAAAAAAATTACATTGCCAAATCCCACTATCCCTCCACCTTTCCATTTTATGTAGGCAGAGAGACCTGCATGGCAGTGGAAAGCAGACATAGCCTACAATCCCCACAATGCTTAGCGACTGTTGTAACCAATCAGTGTTAAGGGATTGTGTGAGGGAATGGGACTTAATCTTTGAGGGCTGAAAAACTGTGTTCTTTTCTCTTCTGCAGTCTTCCCTCTCACAGAGCTAAACTGAGGGGACAGTCTGGTCTGAGAAAAAGACAGAGTGAGGAAAAGACACTTGAGACAGAAGCCTGGTATAAGAGAGCTGTGGGCCTTGAAATAGTAACTAGTTAAGTGAAATAGGTAGTCGTATTAGATTTGATTATTTTGCCTTTAAACACTGTTATATATATATTTAAGCACCTTGTCTTGTTTTCAATGCCCCATTACTGTATTAATAAACCCTTTGTTTTATGTTCTCTGCATGGTCATCACGCCTATATTTTCTTGGCTTAAAAGGGGCATTTTGGTTGGGCTTGGGAGGGTACTCTGGGCCTTCCCAAGGGACCCTAAGTCCAGAGTGGTGGCAGACGAAGGTGACAATCCACAGGAGGTCATGACAGCATCTTATAAGGGGGGGTTGGGAGGTGTCAGTTAGCAAAGACTTAAATAAACAAAATATAGCAAGAGTGTTACTGTTTTAAGCATGTTTGTATTTTAATTTTTTAAAAACCCTTTAATTATGTTTGTCAGTGTCCTTTATAAAGTTACTATCTCTGCTACCTGACATTACATTTTATGACACACATGGTCTGACCCGACAAAGTCCCATTTATCTTTCTTTTGGAATATATAACTTTTAGCATGAGAAATTTGATTTGTTATCCTACTGTCAATGCAATGGTTACTTTTATGATAATAGCATGGTCCAATCTCACTGTATTTTATGTATGTGCAATCTGACTGATTAAACAGATTTGTTACACAGACATAATTATTGGACTGTTCTCTCTAAAAAATGATAAAAATTAGAGAAATCAAACAAGAAACACCTAACTAGTACTATTCATTCTTTCAAAAACTCATCTCAATACACTTGTTTGCTTGCATAGGAGCCTTCTTCCATTTAGACGATTGAACTAACCTCATAGACTGGACTTGAAGGCAGTTTCTCTTCCACTGGCTGTGGGGTGGGAGATGGAGGAGGAGTTTGTTTCTTGGCTTTGGCTTCTTCCTTTGACAAAAAGAAAAGAAGCAAGTACACATCACAACCAGAACCTCAGCAACAGCACCACGTACAAAGACAAGAGGAAGACGGTCATGTAGTGCACTGCTAATACCTTTATTTTAAATGGAAATTTGTGAGGTTAACCCAGCTTCAGAAAATTAGTTGACCCAGTCATCAGTGTTGCTTGTGGAGTGCAGTACAAATGGAGATAGTCTTGATTAAGAAGACTGGTACACCATGGACTATTCACATGCACCCTCCATGAGGATTAGCCCTGGGAACAACACAACTGTGTGGAACAAGTAACCCCTGTGCTAGCCTACTCACAGTGTCACTTCCCAGCAGTGTGTGGTTTTAATGGGGCAGCACTTATAGAGCTGTCCCATGAAGCAGCATTTGCCCCATGTGACTTCATGGGATAATTTTGCATAAAAAATTACCAAACATTTCGACCAGACCCTCAAAACCACCTCACTCAGTTTCAAAGAAGATATTCTGCTCTTAGATATGCAGCAAAATTCATAAACTAGGTTTCGTGAGCTATTTATATACATGTTCATGGAATAAACAACCTTATAGCCCCTATACACATGACCCCTTCTTATGCTGACTGAATGCATGGAGAGGGAGAGTGCGCATGAGCACACTGCCCCCTCTCCCCTCCACTGCATGATTACCAGTGCAGTTCCATACTCGAGATCCACCAATCATGTAGAGGCGAGATGGGCCCAGTACATTTCTGCCCACTCTCCCTCTCTGTGCATGTCAGAAAACATGCAGAGGGGTTGGGTGTACAGGGCTTATGTATTCAAAATACCAAACGTATTCATCGTTCAGTGTTTGCTAATAGCACTGAGCCAGTTGTGACTACTAGGCATTTTTCTTCACATTATTCATCTGTGTGTTGAGCATACCTTGATTATGAAACCAATGTTGCAGTAAATGCTTCCTGTAGGAGGGAAAAAATATTAACCTAGTCATCTCTGGTGAAGAACAAGGTTTTAAGTTCTCCCTTGTCTTTTTATCCCACTAACAAGGCCAGAAACACTACAGAGCAGGCGGAGGAGAGAAGAAACAGAACTGATTTTCATCGGCAGTCCCTCGGCTGTGGTTTCAGATATTAAATTGTCACCATGTGTGGTGGAGACAGGCATTATGGAACTGATGCATTTTGTTTTGCAGAGACAACATATTTTGTAGCAGACAGACGTCAGGAATGAAAGTGGGTGGCACCAGATAGTCCTACATTGTATTGCCTGTTCTTTTTTCTAGATTACTGCAAGGAGTTAAGCGACACAACAGATGTCAAACAGTTATCATCTGTCACTGTAATTCAACAGAAAGACACTGCATCAATGTTGTGTAGCGGCTGGAGAGCTAAAGCAGGATCTGGGAGATCTGTTCAAATCCCCACTCTGCTGGGTGACCCTGGGCCACATTCAGACTGACATACCTCATAGGGTTGTCATCAGGATAAAACAGAAGAGAGGGGAATGATATCACCCACTTTAAGTCCCCACTGGGAAGAAAGGCAAGGTATACATGAATAAACTGCCATGTTGCTTTTCTTTTTCTTAGATTTAAAGGATATTCACATGAATTCAATGCATACATGGAATAAAAGTGTCTCTGGCGTAAACCTAAAGTTCAGTTATGTTTCACTAATGGAGAATACTAAAGCAAAGACTATGTGCTCCAAAAGCTATCGTACTAGCTGGCTCAGCATATTTCAAAGAAGACCTGCCTCTACATCTTACCTAAGTTAAACATCCTAGGGAAGGAACACTGGGGAAGCATTTAGCCCATGGAATATCTTTCCTTCTACAGTCTAGTAACGCAGCCCAGTACTATGAACTCTTTCACAGACCAGTGACTCGCAAGATCAAACTTCAGGATCCTAAAGCAGGAAAACTGTGGCTTTCATGCTGGGGCCCAGTTATAGCACTTGCCATATACTGCAACTCAGACCAGGCCTGTAGCCAGAAAATTTTCACTCAGGGAGCACCAAGGAGGCATGACTTCACTTCCAATGTCACAAAAAATAACATAAAATAGACTTCTGGTTTAAGCATTTTGCCGCTCGGAGGCATCTCGTCTTGCTTAGATGGAGACGCACCGAGACCCAGCTGACGGGAGGGGTTCGAGTTCGTCCCGCCCCCCCCCGGGTCTCTGT